GTCAGTGTGGCCATCCCCAGATACCCTGGTGTCAGTGTGGCCATCTCAAGATTCCCTGGTGTCAGTGTGGCCATCTCAAGATACCATGGTGTCAGCGTGGCCATCCCCAGAGACCCTGGTGTCAGTGAGGCCATCTCAAGATACCCTGGTGTCAGTGTGGCCAGCCCCAGATACTCTGGTGTCAGCGTGGCCATCCCCAGATACTCTGGTGTCAGCATGGCCATCCCAAGATACCCTGGTGTCAGTGTGGGCATCCCCAGATACCCTGGTGTCAGCGTGGGCATCCCTACCACTGCTGTTTTTCTGATGCTGGGGCTGGAGTATAGGGCTTCATACCAGCCAGGCAAGAGTTCTACCACCAACCCATATTCCCTGTGGCTAACGTCTTGCTGAAAGGACTCAGTATACATTCCAAGGAACACACTCTTGTGTAGGTCTCCACCGGATTCAAAGCATTGGCTGGAAGCTTCCTAGCCATCAGGGCTCTGGGCACCAAAAGGGAGCCAGGGGACTGACTTCCTAGAGTTGCTGGTGGAATGTATAGTTTGATTTCCCAGACATAGTACCAGTTGGCCATGAAGAAGGGTCTAGCCCCGACTGTAACATGAATACTACCAAACCCTGGGGAGGGGGACAAAAACACTTGATAATGGCCTTGGCTGTCCAATGTTCAAAGTGGTAAAGGAAGCAGAGGCTGGGTGAGATTGATTATATCTGAGTAAGATGGGTGTATTATCATGTTTTTCTAAACATTGAGATGATACCACCATGAAGATGTTGCTGTGCTTGTTATCCACTCCAAAAGATAGTCTTCCCCCAGTATGTCAAGTTACTGAAGATAAATTAAATTAACCTAATGGTCTTCATCACTTCCCTGGTATGCCAAACATACAGATTGATACAGCATAGTATTTAATATTTGCAATCATCATAAGAACAGATCACAGTTACACCTGAGTTTTTCTTTAAAAAAAAAAAAAAAAGCAAAGAAGAGAACTGAAGGTCATCCTTAGAGACAAAGGCTATGACCAGCCAGATGCAAATAGGGACACATTTAGTATGGGCTCAAAATAGTCACTGTTGAAGCTTGGGAACCACTATCGAGAACATTCTTTTCTGTCTACCATCTCTATCAGGGGATGACATTGCACAGGAGAACCGAATGTGACTTTAACAGAGCTCAGTATGTGGTTACACTTTTAACCCAAAAGGAAATAAACAATATAAAGGACCCCAGCCCTCCCTAGAAAGAAACATACCTCTCTCTCAGTAACTTGAACCAATAGGTGATAAGAAGATTGCACCTGGACATTATCATAATTATTCTTTCATAGACTAGAAGTATTATAATATGTCTGAACATGCAGCAGTTGATACCTCTATATTCAATGAATTAATTCCACAGGCCTTGCAGCAAACACTATATACAAAAACAATCCCAAATGTACAAAAGGCAAAAAGCTTCATTAGTGCCAGTTTGCCACTCACAAGTATATATATTTAGGGGTGGTTGGGAAATCCACGTGCAATGGTTGGAATGGATTCCATTCCCTGCTAAATCAGTTCAATAAAATAGGTAATCAAATGACCTCCAGGGAACATATACACAAAGCCACAGGGAACCCTTGGGAATAAAAACTGTAACACTGTCAGCATAGCTACAGGAGGTAATATCAATCCGTTAAACAGAGTCCACGTGAGTTTCCATAGCATGTCACCAAAACTCTGGCCACATCCCAGCACCTTGTCGGTCCTCAGATCAGTTACTCCTCAGTCTCCTGACACCTTCTGCCTGACCCAGGTTGTGTTTTGTTCCTTGTATTCCCAAAGCAGATACTTCAGAATTTATTCTATATATTTAATGTTTTAAACCACAACACGGCGGTATGACTGTCTTGTAGAAGCGCAGAGAAAATAAGATGTTATGCTGGGAACGTGGGACAAAACTGGAGAGACAATTTGGGAGTTTTTCTGGAACCTTGGGGTCTTGGCTGTTGCTCTGGTGGTCTTTGTGCTCAGAATTCTCATGATGAGAAGCCAGAGTTTCCTTTGCTCTCTTTGCAGAGACCTCATGTGTCACTAAAGCTTCAATAATAAACTTTGGATGACTGGATTCTCACCGTGATTAGCCCTTTAATATCTACCCGTGTTCACACTGGGATGGCTATCTTTTGGCCAATTAGAAAATGAACTTGGTAACAGCTTTCTTTCTTTCTTTTTCTTTCTTTCTTTCTTTCTTTCTTCCTTTCTTTCTTTCTCTCTAAGTGTTAAGAGTTCAAAATCAAAATGATTTCTTCCATGAGATACAAATGCACACAACTTTGGCATGCTCAAAAAAAAGCTAAAACCAAAGCAAGCAGGAATGTGCAATTCCAGAGCAAACTGCCACAGTTGGCCAGCCTGAGCACCCCCAGGCTCCTCCCATCAAGGGCATGCCTGGGGCGCCTGCCCTCAAGTGGAAGAAACTCTGGTCTCTTCTCGTAGGCAGGGATGGCAGGCTGGGGACCAGGAGGAATGAGAGAAGGGAGGAGTCAGGATTCCATGTCCAGTGGCAGAGCCAGAGTCTTCGTGGTTTTTTTTTCTTCTTTGTAATAAAAGACCTGAAGCTGCTTCCGGGTTCCGGATGGATGGATACTCCAAACCCAGCACTGTACACAGCTACCCACAGAGCAGACACAATTCAAATCTGTCATCTTGGTGAGTCTAGACCCAAGAGTGCCTTCTGGTCACTGGGAGGGTGGGAAAGGACATGGCGTGGGGTGAGGGAATGCAATAAATAAGAGAGTGGACATGGGACTGGGGCTCTGGGGAGGAGGACCTTCTGAGCCTCTGCAACATGGGATTATCTCAACACCCTCCTTGCAGCGTGAGCTAACTCCACCTGAAGCAGCTTTCTCAGGGCATCAGGTCTTCACCAAAATAGGAGAAGCCTTTGAATTCTTCCTGGTTGATCTGTTTCACGATCGCTTCATCCACAAGTGTAAGAACTGGCTCTTCCCGGGTAAAGTCTTGGTCAAAATTATTGACATCTCTTTTGGTTTTCTGTGGAGACAAAAGAAACGGTGCTTAGTTGAGGCCTAACTTCCCTCTTGAGCCCCATCCCCTCCCGTCTGGAGACTGGGTATCGAGGAGGTGACCAGCCTCTCATGAGCCTCTAGCTACTGGGGACAGATACAGGGCTGTTCCAATGAGAAAACAATGGATGGCCCCAGGACCCAGATGTGAAGAGGAGGAGAGCAAGAATGAGTCAAGGTGAGAAGGAAGAGGGTGCGTGAGTATGATGGAAAAGCAGGGAAGTGGGGTTCCCACAGGCTGAGTGTGTGCATGTGTGTGCGTGTGTGTCTGTGGGTGTGCGTGAGCCTGTGTGTACATGTGTATGTGCATGCACATGTGTATGTGTGTGTGCATGCATATATGTATGTTTGTGTGAGCATATGTGCATGTGTGTGAGTATATGTGCATGTGTGGAATGGGATGCATAATCTCCTACCCCCTTGGTAGCATCTGCCATAGCAATCAAGCTCCATGAAGACAGTCTTTGTGGTTCCCAGGGGAAAAACTTAAACCCATCTGCTTGAAGTCCCCAGTGCTCCTTCTTCCCATAGAGACAGACCTGATAGTCCTGCAATATCTGCTTCATATGAACTTTCTCTGTGTAAGGATGGGCTATGGACAGGACCCAGGAAGACCTTTCTCCATCTGCCCTCACCAGCATCTCACTTTATGGCCCTGTGGTGACTAAACACATGGACTTTCTGTAATCTTTTCATACTTTTGTCTAGACCAGTGCTCCTCAATCTGTGGGTCATGACCACATTGGGGGTTGGGACTGAATGACCCTTTCACAGGGGTCACTTAAGACCATCAGAAAACAGATTTTTATATTATGATTCATAACAGTAGCCAAACTACAGTTATGAAGTAGCAATAAAGATAGTGTTATGGTTGGGGGTCAGCACAACATGAAGAACTGTACAAAAGGTTCATGGCATTAGGAAGGCTGAGAACCACTAATCTGGACCATAAGCTCCTTCTCTTAGTTAACTTTAAATTATTTGGAGTTCTGCCACAATAAGTAAGCATCTGTGACTTATTCTCAAGATCAGAAAGACAACCCATCTAGATGTTCAAGTTCCCCAGGCTCCTAGATTTGAGGGCTTGAGTAGAGGGCAGCAACCAACCAACCCACATATCCTGGTTTTTGGAGAGGACAGGAATGCAGACAATATCCTACCTTTAAGGACTTACAGATGAGTAAGAAAGACAGTGTGCTTGTCTGGGATGTGCTGTTTTACAAAAGAACTTCCACAGAGAAGTCAGGGTTTGGCTATGACCTGAAGGATGGTTTATAGTTGTGGGGTAGATGGGAGGAGGGACAAAGCAGAGGTTAAGAACATAGAGCATGTATGCCCAGAACCTTGGGTCTGCCAAGCCCCTGGACCAGAGTCCAGTGGTGAACGGTCAGGAGCTAAGACTGGAGTCTGATCACAGAGGCCTTCAGTGCTAGGCCTACAGGACTGAGCACAGTATGGGGTACAGTGGGGAGTTAGAGGCTCTCCAGCAGTACCTCTTTAGACACTGGATGTGATGGTTTGAATATGCTTGGCCCAGGGAGTGGCACTATTAGGAGGTGTGGCCTTGTTGGAGTAGGTGTGTCACTGTTGGTGTGGCTTTAATACCCCCACTCTAGCTCCCTGGAAGCCAGTCTTCTGTTTGCTTTCAGAACAAGACATAGAACTGTTAGCTTCATGTCTGCCTGGATGCTGCCATGCTCCCACCTTGATAATGGACTGAACCTCTGAACCTGTAAGCTAGCCCCAATTAAATGTTGTCCTTATAAGAGTTGCCGTGGTTATAGTGTCTGTTCACAGTAGTAAAACCCTAATTAAGATACTGGGTAACTGGCACTGCCTCTGTTTAGTGACCTAGATGATGGGGTACATCTTATAGAAAGGCCAGACTCATTTTTATAGAAAGAATAATAATGAAACAGGCTATTGTCTCAGGAGAAACCTGTAACCTTAAAGCTAATAGTAAGTCGTCTGTGAAAGAGAGTACCTTTGAGACAAAGCTATATGTTGTATCTGCTTTTAGATGGTTGCTACATATTTGAACAAATTTAAATCTCTTAGAAATTCTAGGAGAAAGAATCCTGGTCCATTTTGCTTAGGCTGTACTTTTTCAAACTTTTCTTCCTGCCCTCCTGAATAACATATTCACCCCTTTCCCAAGAGGAAAATCCTATGGTAAGTTGGAGAGGTACTATTTCAGTGCTTCTCAAAGCATCTTTGCATTCACTCACTCATTTGACCCTTGGAATAGGCAAGTATTTTGATTCCAGTTTTACAAGAGAGGAAAACTATGTCTCAGAGAGATTTGGTGGCTTGGGTGGGGTTACCCAACTGAGAAATTGCCAAACTCACATCCAGGTCTCAGCATGATGCCTCCTGCCCCTGTGGAAGTTATAGAGATGTGAAGTCCATAGAAATGGGATGGCATACATGGCAAGGGTCAAGTCCAACCAGGAGACATTTTTTTAGAAGAAGCCAGTAGGCTTTTGAGTTAAAGCCAGAAGGGCCTGGCATAGGCAAATGGGAAGAGAGTTTGGCATCACAGTGACAGGGGGATAGAGTGGGAGGCTGGCAGGGGAGCCAACCCAATGAGTCAGATTAGACACAATGATGGGGAGGAAGGAGCAGGGATAAGCTACTCTTCCCTGTCCTTAGCAGTCAGTCCTGATGTCTCTCTCAGCTTGAGCAGCAGAGTTTGACTCAAAAGGACTGTGAAGGAGGACAGAGGAAACAAAGAGAATGCAGGAAATTTCCAGAAACAGCATTTGTGGCTGGGGATGTCTGTATTCTTAGACATAGTGTGGTCTTCTCCAACTGAAAGGCTGGCCCTAGGTGGGCTAGCTGTTGTCCTCAAGGGGTTTCAGGGCCAGAGCAAAGGGAGGGTGTATGCGAAGATCTGCTTCAGAGATAAACAACAAAAGTGGTCCCCAGGGTGATGAAAGCTGGCTGTGGTAGGGTGGTGGCTGGGGAAGGTATGTGGCAGCAACTCTTCAGAGATCTTTGTGGAAGGAGGGAAGGGTCACAGGGCTAAAGGATGGGGAGGGCTGTGTTGGGTGAAGGCTGGCCAGAGGTATCTGGGAGGCAGAGAGGTGGTGACAACTTGTAAAGTGCCAGGTATTGTCTAAAGGGCAACTGAGGGGCATATACTCTGGTGGTTGGGGTGAAAGGTTTGCAGAGGAGGCGGATGGATCCACAGAATAGGACAGGAGGATGGTCCACTTGAAACGTAGCTAAGGATGAGCTGGAATTCTTGGTCAGGAACATTTTCTTTCCGGTACACCCTTTCGGCTAGCCACCAAGGAGGGCAGGGTGCACATAAAGAACCTCAGAAACCCCATAAGCTTGTTGGCATTGACTGTCCTTGTTTACTTAGTTGCTCTGATTTCATCAGTCATCCGTGATGGATTCATGCTCAGTAGTCACTGAAACTGGTTTGCTTTCCTGAGGTCACCTGGGCATAGCAATGGATCTGAAGTCCACAGTATGTCCACACTTCACAACTCGTTGGTTATGTATTTTGAGCACCAGGTTCTGCTAATGCATCTAGAGATGATTCTATCATGAGCTCACTGGGAAAGTCATTTAGCTCAGTTCTAGGTTTCTCATGGGAAGCCCAGCATCATCTGAATGCAGTCAGTAGGCCAAACCATTTCTCCCTCCTGTAGGTCAGTAGAAATACTGCTGGGCATGAAGCCCATGTCTTGTCCATGACAGGTACCCAGCATTCCATCACTGAGTCAAATCCCCATGCCAGAAGATGCCATGCTTGCTGACCTGCAGACTGATCGGTCACAACTCCTTGTGCAGCTTGGTTCCTGGCTCTAGCTTCCTCAGAAACATTTTAGGTGCATGTTAGTTACCCATTCTCAACATAAATAGTTAATGGTGCCATGGGATGCCATTCCTGATCATTGGAGACTGGAGGCTTGGAAAGTTTTTCAAAGCACCTTGTATCCCTATCACTGGCATATAGGCAGCATAGAATCCTCCAAACTGGAAAGGGCTGAGGTTGGCTCCTTCATTAATTTTGTTCTTTGAAATACTGCTGCTTTCTTCAAAGCACACCCAAGACTCAACTTCACAGTTCTTAGTCCGGCTTTCAGAGATACTGCCTACTCTGGTCCTTGGTCAGTCAGTCCATACGCCTTCCCGATGTCCATCCCGTGCAGCCCAAGAAGTGGCATTGGATACACAGAGCACAGTCTGACTGACTCTTCAGACCTTTTCTCCTCCACAAAGTCTTTCCCATAACCTCTGGGCCACACTCAGGGAAGGCTATGTGGAGGAAGACAAAGACCACTGTCCTTGAGATTGTTCTTGTCTGCTTATAGGACATTGATCCTTCTGTCTGTGAAATCGTAGTGAGGACAATACCCTGTAGGATTGCCAGATGTATCAGGTTGGCACCTGATCACACGGGTACTGTGTTCCATGGGCCTCCATCACACACTTCTCAGGTGTCCATGCAGCACAGCACTGATGAGCATCTTGAAGCTAGGGGACAATCCTTCATCTCTCTCTTTGCCTCCAAATCCTAAGCCATGGCTACCTTGAGCCCTCCCAGATGTCCTAGCACTTTTCTTTTTCTTTTTTTCTTTTTACTGATCTGGAGAGTTCTATGGTGCCTCACCACTCTAAGAACCAAGTCCCAAGTTCCTGTGCTTGGTCACCTCTAAGGCCTTCAGGATCCTGTTCCTGTGCACCCTGGTATCACATCTGGGTACTGCTGAACTATATGATGCTCCACGCTCAACAGGGCTTCTTTACGTTCTGCCTGGAGCACCCCCTCTCTTCCTTGCCTGTAGATCTCCATCTGTGGCTCTTTTTCATCTCAGTGTGGATGCCCTTCCATGAGAAAGCCTCGTTTATCCCTCTGTGGGTGGTCTGAGAGGAGCCTTGGATGGACAGCCTGTCATTTCTCCACTCTAACACACTGTAGTCCTCCCACTGTAGTCCTGCACAAGCAGGGAA